TAAATATCACTATGCAAGTGACACCACTTTGCTATGTATGGTTGCTCCAAAATGCGTCATGTGTCCTTTGGTGGTCCCATTTTGTTTGTTCTACAAACACAATTTTTGCCACTCAATTAACAACATCTTATTCAACTACCTTATTTCATCCATTCAACAATTTATATTTTTTAGTCTAACTAGATGATTTTCTGTGTTATATACGGTTAAATATATTTTAAAAAATCAAATAAATTAGAAATTATTATTTTGTGGTTAAAAATTGCTAATGACTTTCTTCTTTCTCCATTGCTTCCTCCTCCGTTAATGATCCATCTCTTTCTTCGTCAATAATTGCTTACTCATTTCAGTACAGTCAGATATAGAAATTCACACATGCGATTATCCCAAAGAATCAAACGTCGCGATGACCAAATATATTTCTTTCTTCAACCAAATCGATCGGCAACAACAACAGATCTGTTAAATTCAATGATTGTCGTAAATATGCATGTTTTATGTGATGAGATTTGATATATGATTGATCTGGAAAGTGCAAGTATGAGAGAGTTTCAATATTTAATTAATTTTTGAGAATCTGGAAAGATCATAATCTTCCCATAATCTGCTATCCCTAACAGTTTCCCAAAGGATAAAATAGCTTAATCACCCACTCACATAGTTTCTTACTCTATTAACCACTTAGGATAGCTACGGGGATGATTGGTTGAGTTGTAAAAAAATAGCTACAGTTTTAATTTTTATTTACAATCTTTAAAGTTACCAATCAGTCTTTAAATTTATTTTAAAAACTACAGCCTTTAAAAAAAAATTAGGCGGTAACTTCCTCAATTCCTAAAGCCATGTACGTGATTGATTCGGTTGTTGTTGTAAAATAATTGCTGTATAATTTGGTCTGTAGACGTTTTTGCTGTAGCTGTAAAATTTTGGACTTTAGCTATAACTATTTAAAAATTAAAATACGATTGGAAAATGTTGGATTTATGTTGTAGAATAATTGTTTATAATATAAAATTTGAAAAATAAAATAAATGATATTTAAATAATGTATATTTAAAAATATTTAACTATAAATTATATATAGAGTTTTTATAGAAATTTATAAGAAAAAACTATATATATATTCTACATATATAAGTACTATATAATACTATTTCTATATAAAGAATTAATGTAGTATACATACATATTTATAACATATATAATATTGTATGTAAAAGTGACACAAATCGATTACCTTCAAATTTGTTTTACATTTTATAATATAGTAATATACAGAAACCAAAGAAAGAGAAAATAAGAGGCAAAAGAAAATAATGAAGGAAGGAAAAACAAAAGGCAAAACATAATCGTACAGCCACTTTTATTTCTCTACAGCAACAAAAATAAACATATGTGGAATGCTTATGTCCATTTAATTTTTAATTAAATAGTTAGATTTATAATTGTAGATTTTTTTTATAGTTATTCAATCTAATTTTTCTTGTTTCTATATCATGTCAAAAAAAAAAATTAAATTGATGTAAAATTTAAGAAATTTTGGTCTAATAACCACCAAAATTTTTATAGGTAAGTAACAATATCTATGGAAGGCTACAATATTCTCTATATTTTCTACAATATTACCAAACATATCCTTATAGATACATAACACTTCTTCTTTCTTTTACTCGGATCCAGTAACCGTTCAACATCACCGCCGGTACCATCGTCACAACATCACCGCCGGTACGGTACCGGTACCATCGTCACATCATCACGGTCCTGTTATGACGATGGTGGTTTCGATGGTGGTGATTACGATTGGAATCAACATGATGCCAAAAGAAATTGTGTCGTGTTACGGCGGAGGTTTCGACATCGCGGCGGTGGTCATGGTGGTGGAAGAGAAAACTCGCGATTGTGGCCGTCGCTTGGGCATGGCAACCGTGGTTTCAAAAATCATTGCGCGACGGTTGTGGTGATTCTGATCGGAATATTGCGGCTTCAACAATGGCATGACAACGAAAATTGAAGATAAAGATAGGGACAAAATTGGAAGTTTTTAGGTTATTTGGTTATTTATTAAAATATATACCTTAAAAATATCAATTCATT